CCCATGCAGCAGCAGGAACCCTTCATCCCACTGGAAGTTCCTTCATCCTAGCAGACCCTTGTTCTAAAGACAGGACACAGGCTTTGCTCCTGCTGACCTCTGCAGGAATGTCCTCAATCTCTTCTTTCCACTTTGTAAGCCCACTGGGACCCAGGAGCTTCGTTTTAATCAAGGAAAAGGGAAGAGTATAGGCAGAGGGGTGGGTCTCTCTCTAAGCAGGTGGCTGCACTTGGGAGTTGAGGGCCAGCATCCTGCCTGGGGGCAGCCCTGGGGCCCAGGTGTATCACCCCTAAGGGGTCAGTGTATCCCCCAGACTCTGCAGGGTGGGGCTATGATGTGTTGGGATAGTCCAGGACAGTTAGGGCCATGTCCCTTCAGACCTCATGGTCCCTGAGACCCACCCAGAAACGACTACCCCAGTACTTTCCCCACTCATTCAATTTCACCTACAGCCAACACAGTCTGATCCTCCTGAACCGGCAGAGCCGCAAGCCCATGCCAAGCGGGTGGGTCCCTTCAGTCAGGGTGGAGCTATGTGGAGAACCTGGAGGCCTGGAAGGAAGGAGGCGGGTCGAGGGGCAAAGGGGCGGTCCGGGGGGAGGGGCAAGCGGTCCGGGTCAGGGAGCCCGGCTGCAGGCAGAAGTTAATTGACCGCGTCTCTTGGCGGCAGCAGCTCGGGCTTCCAGGCCAAGGAGTCTCCAATTGGCTCTGTGGGGCTCGGGATTTGCTGGTTTCACATAGCGGAGGAACGCCTGCAACTTTGCGCGTGCCCGTATGACTGACTGGCCTCGCACATGGTGTCTGGCCAGTGTGTGTACTTCGGTATGCCCCGTTTTCTGTGAACCCTAACGTGGGGGCTGCGCAACGTGTGAATTTGGGCCCTGGAGCCTGACGTGTTTATGAACACTGCATGTATACAAGTTTGCGGGCAAAAGTCCACGTGTGGACTTCTGTGTGTGTTGCACTGCTTCTTTAACATACATGCCTGTGTCTGTGCTGCTCCGTGTCCCTGGATCTGAAACGGACCCTCAGATTTCTGCTGGCCCCAATGCCCACGGGTCCTAAGAAGGCTGAAGCAGATTTTCTTATGCTCACAACTCTAACTTCGCCCTGTTCTCACCACAGCTATGGCAGAGCTGGCTGGGGCAGGGTGATGGGGATGAAGGAGGACAATTTGACTTGCTAGCATCCAGGAACCTCCAAGATGAACCTGAAGCTCTTCTTAAGCCTCTGACACTGGGGATCTCATACTGAGGGGGTCTGAGCCTCATCCACCTCACCCCTATTACAGCATCAACTTACTACCACTCCATATTGCAACTAATATGTCTGTCAATAACCACACTCCCCGTCAGCACCAACACAACCATCACCACCCTCAATATTATGACCACTATCACTGTAGTACCACCAACAACAATAGTGTTGCCATCAATGTAATCACCATTACTACCATCATTACTGCCACAACTGTTACAACACCACTGCCATCACCATTACCATCCTCACTATTGCACCACTTCCAGTATCACTACTAGCATCTATCTCATCACCATCATGACCAGCACCACCACAGACAACATCAGCACCATCACCAATATTACCACTTTCTCATACCACCTTTGCCCTCTTCTTGTCCCTTCTCCCTTCCATATCCATCTATGAGTCCTTCCTTCTGCCCACTTCCGCCCCTCCCAAGATAGATAGTTTGCCATATTTTTCTCCCAGCTCATGGAGTACTCTTGAGTGACTGAGATTCCTATCTGTCTCCAAAGATTTTCTGATATGCCAGCTTCTTAATGGGCTGGCTAGTCTGCTGATGTGACTGGAGAGTCTCAGCTGATGGCCTAGACTAGAGGTGGGTTGAAAACTGTAAGCCTGACAAGCAGAAACTGGCTGACATGCCCACTCAGAGGGAGGGCTGTCTAACCTTCACAGCTGTCTGCTGCATCCTCCCCAAGCCCAGATAGGCACATTGTCTTTTCCAAAGTCTCATCTCCTGGACAGGGATACTCATATGCTTCCAGGATCCGATATACCAAGACTTCATTCATCCTTGGGGATGATGGCTCCCACCTCTGCCCTCCTTGAGCTTTAAGACCTACTTCTCTGTTACCCTAATCAGGGGCAGCGCTGCCCTACACCAAGAATACAGCTTAGAGTTAGGGAAGTGCTTCTCCAAGGCAGCCCCACATCCAGGGCTTCTTCCCCTCAGCAAGCCTCTAACACAGCTTCTAATCAGAAATGTCCAGACCCCCTTGCCCCTCCTTCAACTGCACCCCAGAGATTCTCTGAGAACACTGGAGCCTGAATCCTACCTCTACCACTGACTAGTGTCTATGGCAATGCTGCTTAAGCCCAGGGCTTCAGGTTTCCTGTAAAATCAGAATAATAATAGGGCTATTGTAAGGTTTAAATGAAGTACTGCATAAAAGCCTGGGTAGGGTAGGCTGGGGAAACTGGTTGCTGTTATTGTTGCTGTTATAGTAATAGGGCTAACTTACTACTCTTCTCCTATAACCTCTTTGTTTCCAGGGACCCACAGAAAGGAACTGATGAGTTGTAGGATCGCAGAGAGAATTGAAGACTAGGAATTGGTTGTGGGGGGTGCTGGGTAAGGTGTGCCTAGACAGCTCCCTGGACTCACAGTACCATTCAAGGTCACTTCCAGACCCCAGGTTTGGTTTGGGGTGGGCAAGATTACCAGTCTGCCTGTCTTGGTTGAGGAGGGGTGAGGGGAAAAACTGCTGACAACTCCAACTAGTATGGCATCAACCCTGTCTGCTGCTTCTTTCCCCCCACCAATCACCTCCTCCCTCTGTAAAAGCATCTGTCTTCTTGGCCCAGCTCCAGAGTATGGAGATCTCAGGCTTGCATCTTCTTAGATCCAGAGTCTGCATAATTTGGGTCTCGGGAACAAGACTGAGGCACTAGGGATTGGGTCATGGCCAGATGTCATTTAGTCCATACCCACCAATGATAGAGTTGCCCAGTCCTGGCACCATGTGTCCTGCCCACCTTTTTCCACTTGGTGGATTAAGGTTAACCTGAGCTCCTCTGACTGACCCATCACAATGTCTAGGACCCACACAATGCAACTTCCCCACTCAGTCTTCCAACATGCAGGCTTCTTGTGTGCGTATCTAGAGTGTGTGAACTTACAGGGGCTGTTGTGATACAACCTTAGCCCTGAGCTGTCAGAATAGGGAGGAAGGCAGCCTGCAAATACCCAGTGGGTGCTTTGAGAAGCTCCAGGCAGAGGTTGGAAGTTGATGTGTTACTTACAAACTTAAGATACTGCTGACCCAGGGGCAGAGGATGTGCTGTTGAGAGGCTCAATGTATTTTTTCATTTCCTGAGTTCAGAAACTTAGGCAGGATGGCTCAGGCTGACCTTGAACTCATGATCTGAGAGCCTCCTGCCTCAGCTTCCTGAATGTTGGGATTGTAGGTATACACCACCATGCCTGGATAAGCTGTTCATTCTAACTTAGCTCTCAGGGAAACCCCACTGAGGATAGTGGTGAAGTAGGGGGTTAACAGTGATGGTGGTAGAGGGGGTGGAGGTGAAGGTGGTGAGCTGGTATATCGAGGCTGGTAACCAACAGCACAGACAACGATCTATACCATCATCCAAATGAGGGCCAAATCCCCTTAACTTCCTCCTTGCCAAATTCTACACATTTGCACACCTATGATCTCAGACATGCTGAAATTCTTTTCTTCCAGACAAAAATGGAGGAAACAAAGAGGTCCCATTTTTTCAGTTTTGATACCTCTGCCTCTAGGCAATAGGCTTCTATTGCATAGTGTTACGAGTGAGATGTCGTCTTGGATCGAGCCTCCTATCCCCTCTCCAGGGTCAGCCTGGTCTCCTAAGAGACAGCGGGCCTTACTTCCTTGCTCACTGTTGGAGAAGGCAGATGGTACTGGTGTTCATCCCTGGATGTTCATCCCCATCCCACAAGAGCCTCTTTGCTTGCTGGCATCACATCATCCTCACCTTCCACTACATATCCATTTTACAAAATGGGACACTAAGGCCAAGAAAATGGA